CGACCCCTTCTCCTTCAGATTGACACCAAATTTGTCACAATAGCTCTCTTTCGCCATTTGTCTCAACTTCAGTGACATATTCTTCCCGGTCTGTCGGACCAGTTTACTGAACAGACCCTCACTATTGGCCAACAATTCATACGGCATTCCGCACTCCACTATCTCTCCCGCGTCTAAAACCTATCAAATAAACACTTTAATCAATTGAATGCAAACAAAACATGTTTCTCAAAAAACTAATCACACGTACAATGACTTTATCGGAATCTATAATAGTGTTGAGTCTGTGGGCGATCGTAATAACTGTGCAGTCGTTGAATTTATTACGGATTGTGTTTTGTATCAAATGATCGGTTTTGTGGTCCACGTTAGCGGTCGCCTCGTCCAACACCAGTATCTTATTGTCGCGGAGTATAGCTCTGGCGAGACATACCAACTGGCGCTGGCCTACGCTCAAATTACTGCCCCCTTCAGTCACCATACCGTCCAGGTGTCCGGGCAGTTGGACTATCAGCTCCTTGAGCTGCACCTCCTCTAAAGCGGCCCATAGTTTGTCGTCCGAGTGCTCGTCAAACGGATCCAAATTCTTGCGCACAGAGCCCGTGAAGATGACCGGATCCTGAGGTATGATTGATATGATGCGTCGCAAGTCATGCAAACCAATGGATTTGGTGTCGACGCCGTCGATGAGGACACAGCCCTCGGGTTCGGTCATCCGGAAGAGGGCGGCGATGACGGAGGACTTGCCGGCGCCCGTGCGGCCCACGACTCCCACCTTTTGGCCGCCTTTGATGAGGCAATTGATGTGCCGGAGCACCGGTTTGGGCGACTCGTGGTACTGGAGGCTCATGTCTTGGAAAGCGATTTGACCCGTTTGTGGCCAATCGGGCGCCGGCTTGGCGTCGGCCGTCGAGTCCAACTCAGCCTCGGGTGCGATACGCGAGTACTCAAGCATTCGCTCGACTGCTGTCATATAGGACTCGAGATCCGCTGAGCACCGGACCCCCCATTGAGTCATTCCCGTCAACATTAACGCTGCGATAAAATAATTTCATTAAATGACAAACAAATTCAAAACTAATTGATAAATACCTTGAGATAGGATGAGACCGGCGTCTCCACCGGGAAGGCCTACAAAATGCAATAAAAAATTGTTTGTTATGTTTGACGGATTCGTAAATGAGATGCCTTTCCATACCCTTGAAAGTCATAATGAATGTGACGATAGAACTGATATAAATAATGCAAATCCAGTCCATGAGTATACCGAAGCCCCGGGAGGTGCAGACAAACATGAAAAAGGTGGCGCTGTTGTCATTCTGGTAGCGCTCGAACTGTCTCTCAAATAGCTTTTCGGCCCCAAAGGCGCGGACAGTCGACAGGCCGGTGAGGGTTGTGCTCACGTGCGAGTAGATTGGACTCCGGGCTATGGATAGGAAATGGATTATAATTTTGCAAATTCTTTGCATTTCATACACAATCCCTCCAATCGTTTGATATCTCGCGCGGATCTGATGTAGAAATATCTGCAGACAAACACTACGGACACCAGAAAAATGGCCGGAAATATGAGATACCAATTGACCACTGAATTCATGATTAGTATTCCCAATGCATTAGTGACTGTCTGTTTGGGGAACAGGTATTAAATTTTAAAATAATTAATAAGTTCGTAACAAATGAGACAATTCTGTGATACCATTTGGAGATCATATGCAGTGGATGGCAGGGCCTCGTCTACAATACCGGTGTCTTTCGTGAATCGATTCAGTATTCTTCCTATAATTGAATAAAAAAATTATTATTCAAAAAAATGTTAAAACATTTCTGTTGCGGACAGACCTACTGGCGAGCTGTCAAACACATGAATGGGTGCTCTTAAGAGCGAATAGAATATTCTGTTGTGAAGTGTGATCGACGAGCGCATACACATCACGAAGAATGAGGTACTTCTGGCCAATGCCGTCAGGAATAGGGCTCCGATAAGACACGAGTAGATTATGACATTCATGTCCTGATTGACCACTCCGTCCGGTTTGTCCACTTCGTTAGTCCTGTCAAACAAACCTCAGTTGAAAAGCATTTAAAATTCACGTTTTATGTATCGATTCTCACCACCAGGTCAGCCAATAATCGCTTCCCTGGTAGAGGGCCNCAATCTGAAGGAGAAGGGGTCGGAAGACAACGATTATGACTCCCAATGAACTGACGGCCATATTCTCTAACCCAGAGATTAAATGATTGTTTTTGTTATACTTTTGTCTCAATTTGTGTCCAAAAAATGTCATAAATAAGATTTCACATGAACTGTAATATTTCTTTTGTATGATTTATTAGAAAATTGTAACGAAATTAATTTGAAATAAATATAATTCATTAGAAATTGTGTCATAATTTGGACAAAATATCTATTTATTATCATAAAATCAAAAATAATCTTTAGATTACAATATTTTTAAAATATTATATACACGGTGTGAAACATATTTCTGAAAAATGTGTTTTATTCATAGTTAATATATGATTTATGGATAAATGTTCAAATTAATGATTATAATATAAATTGAGTCCAAAGTGGTGTCCATTTCAATGAACTCTCTTCACAACCCTCAACAACACCTCTTTCGGTACGATTACTCCTAAATTATAATACCTTTCCGGTGGTTGCTGTGGACGGGTGTCAAATCAATTAGTCATTCATTATTGGGAAATAATTTCATTAATAAGACTTACAAGCATTTTAATTTGTGGATAATATTGAAACTTATTGTACATATTAAGTGTGTTATTCTTAAATTTATTTCTGGTGACATGAAATATTATATTATAAATAGGAATATATTTATTTATATTTTTAGAATTATATTATAAAATTAATCAAGCACTTATTTTTTGATTAATTAACTTTATAACGTCAATTATAGCTCAAAATTCACTAACAATATTACAATAATACAATATTATACACAAAATACAAATAAGTACTGTATTCTTTGAAATAGTTACTAGGCGTATACAAACTATAATAGATTTTGTTGTTTATTTATATTTTAATTTATTATAATAAGAAACAAGTTTTTACACGCCTGGTAACTCTGTCAAACTACACTAATATTTACAGTACTTATTTTTATTCAGTGTATAATATTGCAATATTCTTAGTTGTTTTATATTATATCTCATTTTAATAAATCAATAATATTATACACAAAATACAAATAAGTACTGTATTCTTCGAAATTGTTACTAGGCGTATAAAAACTATCATACCTTTTGTTGTTTATTTATATTTTAATTTATTTTAATTAGAAACAATTTTTTATACGCCTAGTAACTATGTCAAACTGTACAGTAGTTATTTTTATTTTGTGTATATTATTGCATTATTCTTAGCTGTTTTATATTTTGTATATCTCATTTTTAAAAATAATAGATTCCCCATTCATAGTCTA